CGTGTTGGGTGAGGTTGGAGGGAGTGAGTACTGGGAGGGACAACCGTAATGAGGGACATCGCTGGAAAGGGCTAGACACATATTGCAATGGAAATCCCCAGGAATCTATAAGGGTGACCCTAGTTAAGACTTCTAGCAACGAGAGAAACGGAGAATAAACTGGCCACCTATTGCAGGCAAGGGTTCCAGTGGAGGGAAGGGGACACCAAACAAGCCACAGAACCCTTGACCTACAATTTGTCCTGCCTACAAAAAAATGTGCTGGGCATAAACGTGGCGCAGAAATTGCGAGAGTGCGCAGCCAATGACCGGTACAGCTTGAGACTCAGACTATGAGAGGGGGCTAATCCTTGACTCTGCCTGGAGGGCCAGGCACCAGGGTCTGGGTCACCCAGAGACCTAAATTACACCAAATAATGACTGGCAAAAAAGTCAATGAAATGATTCCCCGATAATATTCTGCTACACTCATTTGATTGTTGCCTAGCCAAGTTACCGTCTGAGAGGCTTCACCTAGCAGCTGATAGAAACAGAGACCTGCGGCCACACGTTAGGCAGAACTCAGGGAATTCTGTAGGAGGGGGCTGAGGAGGAAGGATTGTAGGAGCCTGAGGGGTCATGGACATCACAAGAAAACTCACAGAATCCTGAGCTCACGGGCTCTCACCAGTTAGTATCAGGATTATAACCGTGCACCAGTGTGTCTGGTTCAGTTTCTGTTATCACTGTCAATATTCTTTTCCTGACCAAACATGGTAAAAGTGCAAGATTAACACTTGGGACACAGTGATGCCAGTTAACTAGTGGAGGACCCAAAACCATAAGTCTCAGCTAGACATTTAATCCCCCGCTCCCAGCTGCCCCTCCAGCACCATTGAACAGGGCTTGGGCAGCACAACAGTGTTGTGAAAGGAGTTGCTTTGAGACTATTGTGTTCTTTTTAACCATGGACATGTTGAACGAGTGGGGGTGGGCTCAGCAACCCTGCTGCTTGGAGAGAAAGGCATGGGAACAGTTGCTTTTTTTAATACAGCCCTACAGTGCAGTCTCCAGTGTCTGGGGACATCTGTCAAGCTGCCTGCACTTTTCCTCTCCTTGTGCAGAGCCTTCAGACTCCACCTTTGTCCTTGTCAGTCTGTACCCAGGCAGCATGGTTCTTCACACAGCCTGGTGCAGAGCACATAGAAGGTATGCTTCCCACTACTGGAAGAGTAGTAATCATGGATATCTTCTAGCTTCAAACCTTGTGAACAAAACAGTCATCTGTCTGCAATATACTTACAAAAAATGGCTGTACACATATTATGGCAGTAAACAGTTACTTTACGGATGAATCGAAAACCTAATCATGTGACAGATCTGATATCTGATACTGTTTTTAAATTTCAAGCAAAATTCTTCACTGATTCTTGGGGAATTTCACATTGTGGACCCCAATGCCACTCACCACCCAGTCCCTACATATCTACCCCCACCGCTATAGTATGCATACCCAAATTAATTAAAAACAAAACCAACCAACCAACAAAAACCCAGCCTTGCTCCTCCATATATCAAACACCTCTTTATTATTCCTAGTGATATCACAAGTTTCAGTGTGTCATGCAGTATATCTAATTTTTTTTGTTTAATCAGCCCTGCCAAAAAAATTCATTGCTATGCATTGCTGATCTGGTTCAAGACTTCTGGTTTTGGTACAGCATCATCACTGTGCCCTCATCAAAATTCCTCTTGGATATCCTGCTGTTGCCTGGAGTCAAAGAGGTCCTGTGATTGTTGTTCTGCAGGACCAGTTCCCTGGACAACTCCAGCAAGTCATAGATGGGGCAGTTGTTAGGGTGTGGTCAACTAAGACCTAGGATGTGGGTCTGAGTGTTAGCTGAGCTGGTAAGTCTGGACTATTGGGACTACCCTCCCAGGTGAGGTGCAGAACTAATTCTCCAAGTCACGTGCCATCAGGGACAGCTCTCTGATGACCGTGATGACAAGTGAGGCCATCTCTCCTGAGTACTGGGGTCAGCTCTCCCATGGGGATGGGTGACTCTCCTACTGTAGTATCTAGGAAGGATACCTGATGCTCTTAAGTGTCCGAGAAACTGAGATCCTGGACATGAGGAAAAACCTAATACTATTATTCTGCCAAAGGAACATAGCAACAAAATAATCCCTAATGTTATACTGTTATACCCATTGATCACTGCTTCCTTTAACCCTCATCAGAGAAGCCACGTCCTGCAGCAGATGGCACCTAACATAAACACCCACAAGTTGACAACGTGAGAGATACTGGAGAACTCATTCCTAAATGGGATGTCTTCCACAAAGCCCTACCTTCCAGTCGCAGAGATCTTTGTGGAAAAGAAAGCGCAATGATTGTAAGAGCAAGATGTAATTGGTGACTCCAAGGAAACAGACATGATACAGTAATGAATTCACACGTACCCAGCCTGCACATATTCAATCCAGATTGCATTGAGAGGGGTTGGCTCACATGGGCTCCCAGATCTAATTAGGAAGCTACCTGCAATTGATACTTTCCAGCAAAGGGAAAACATCAACTTTCTCTAGGGGAGTGTCAATCACTGTCCTGTTGCGGTGCTATAACAGTGCTTTTCTTTCTTGTAAATCAATCAGAGCTTTCCTTAAATTGCTTCTCTGAAAATTGCATTTGTGTAATAAAGTTCTTGCTATTGTAAAAGTATCATACTTGTCACTCTGCACTTAGCAAGCCTGCCTTTCCTAGGAAATCGTATATCTATTTTCTTGCAAACAACTACAAAAATGTATGAGTAAAGGAGATTTTGAGAGTAAAGGAGTAAAGGGACAGTAGTAGTAGTACATTGATTTTGCAAAAGCACTGTGATGTTCTTAGCTGTTAACTTGACGACAGCTGGAATTAGCTAAAATCCAAAAAATGGAGGGCACACCTGCAGAGGAATTTTTTTTGCTTAATTTGAAATAGTTAGATCCACTTCTAAGCCAGATCTTTGAGGCAGGAATGCACACCTTTTAACTTGGCAGCACCTTCTGCTGGGAGCCTATATAAGGACATGGAAGAAGAAAGCTTTTGCTCTTTGCCTGCTTGCTCTTTCTTTTTTTTAAAGATTTATTTATTTATCACATATACAGTGTTCTGCCTACATGCCAGAAGAGGGCACCAGACTGGACTGCAGATGGTTGTGAGCCATTATGAGGTTGCTGGGAACTGAACTCCAGACCCTTGGAAGAGTAGTAAGTGCTATTAACCTCTGAGCCATCTCTTCAGCCCACGTGCTTGTTCTTGTGGTCTTGCTTGAATTCCTCCCTTTGTAGTAGAGCTACAACACCTTCACTTGTGTTAGAGCCCGCTTCTTCAGAAATCTGAAGACCACCTTAGACATGCAGCCATGCAGACTGAGCAGCTCCTGGCTTTTTGGACCTACTGCTTACAGGCAGCCATTGTTGGATTATTTGACTGCCACCTGTAAGCTCAAATAAACCCTCCCTTCTATTCACATATGGGAATTAATTTATTGTGCTGCTACTCCAGGGCAGAGGACCCTACGTCACACATACTGTGCTGTGCCCTCGTCACCTGTTAGTGTGAGTTCGAAAGACGGTCACGGATACTGACTGCTTCCATTACAGATGTTCCTCGTGGAAGTCTCACCCACTACTCTTGTTCATCTGTTTTCCATATGCATCGCCACAGTAATAACCTCAAGTGCTGTGCTTTTTTTCATAAAACAACCGCCCAGGTGGTGGTGCACACCTTTAATTACTTACTCAGAAGGCAGTCACAGGACCGGGCGGCGGTCGCGGTTGCAGTCTCGCAAGCCTTTAATCCCAGCACTTGGGAGGCAGAGGCAGGTGGATCTCTGTGAGTTTGAGACCAGCCTGGTCTACAGAGCAAGTTCCAGGACAGCCCCCAAAGCTACAGAGAAACCCTGTCTTAAAACCCCGCCCCCCAAAAAGAAGGCAGTCACAGGCTGATCTCCAGTTCACCGCCAGCCTTGTCTACAGAAGGAGTTCTAGGAGAGGCTCCAAGGCTGCAGAGAATGCCTGTTTTGAAAAGCCCGTAAGTAAATGCATAAATAAATAAGTAGAGGCACCATCAGGTCTCTTAAAGTATTTTGGAGTAAGAGTCTTTAATATAATAAAACAATTGCTGTTGGAAAAATACTACAGTTTTCAATGTGTTCCTAACAAACAAAGTTTACTTAGGAACTTACATTCTGATGTTCTGATACAAACCACTTTAATTTATAAGTGGGTAGCATGTCCGGGAGTAGCTGGCCAACACAAGAAACATAATGGTATTTTTGAAGATTGTTTGTTTCATTTTGCTTTGTTTGGGCTTATTGTTTTTGACTTACCGGCTCTATTCCTTCTGAATTTGTTTCCCATTTTTTATGGGATCATACATGCGTTTTTTGTTTCCTGTTTTTGTTTGCATGCCACTTTTTAAAGAGAGGGAGAGAGTAAATAAAGTTGAAAGAGCAGAAAAATGGAGAAAATCTAGGAGGAATTAAGGGAGGTGAAACATGATCCAAATATATTACATGAAAACATTCCAATGAAGAATTCATAGTTATTGCAATTTTAAAAAAGAATGAAGAACTAGAAGGCAGGTAGTTAGAAAAAGAAGGGTGGTCTGGGGGGCAGAATTGAGGGTAAAATAGCAAACATGATCAAACCATAGCATACAAAATTCTCACAGAAGTAATAAAAATGAGAAAAATAACAGTTTTCTTGTCATAGCAAGCTACATATATCTTCTGCTGATTACTTTTTACAGCAATGAAAGATTAATAGGCGGGCGTTTGGCGAGCGGGCCATGCTGGCGGCTGGAGATCCGGGACCCCACGGACCTGTAGCCCGGAACCCGTGTGCCTAGCGGCCGCCTTTGCTCCCGGTACCGCCAACTGCCGCGCTCCGGCCGGCGCGGATGCAGCTGCTTCGCCTGGGCTTGCGCTCAGGGCTGGAGGAGGAGGACGAGCGGCTGCGCTGGGCGACATGCGATGGGGAACTGCTGCTGGACGCAGTGCTTTGGGCTGCTCCGCCGGGAAGCGGGTTGGCTGCAAAGAGCCGGCGGAAGATCAAAGTATTTTAGAACATGGCCAAGAGGAGAGCACTTGACCATAGAGTTTGAGAATCTCGTAGAGAGTGATGAAGGGGAGAGCCCAGGAAGCAGCCATAGGCCACTCACTGAGGAAGAAATTGTTGACTTACAAGAGAGGCATTATGATTCTATTGCTGAGAAACAAAAAGACGTGGATAGGAAAATCCAGAGGGAGTTAGCCTTACAAGAGGAGAAGTTAAGACTAGAAGAAGAAGCTTTATACGCTGCCCAGCGTGAAGCAGCCAGGGCAGCAAGGCTCCTGGAGCAAGAAAAGCAGAGAGTTACACAGCGCTATCATCCTAGCAGTGGAGACTATCAAAGTGCAGGACCAGAAGATGACTTTGAATCTTGTTTGAGAAATATAAAGTCGCAGTACGAAGTTTTTCGAAGTAGCAGACTCTCATCTGATGCCACAGTATTGACACCAAATACCGAAAGCAGCTGTGACTTAATGACCAAAACCAAATCAACTAGTGGGAATGATGGCAGCACCTCCTTAGACCTGGAGTGGGAAGATGAAGAAGGAATGAATAGAATGCTACCCATGAGAGAGCGCTCAAAGACAGAAGAAGACATCCTTCGGGCAGCACTGAAGTACAGCAGCAAGAAGGGTAGCAACCCCACATCCACCTCTGATGATTCCAATGGGCTGGAGTGGGAGAATGACTTCGTTAGTGCCTAGATGGATGATAATGGCAATTCTGAGTACTCTGGGTTTGTGAATCCTGTATTAGAACTGTCAGATTCTGCCACCAAGCTGTCTGATATGGATCAAGAGATCCGATAGGATGAAATTGTGTGACCTTACTTACCAAACGTTAAAAGTCAACCAGAATGTACAGATGGGTGCTGAGCCTTTTTGGGAGGCAGCACAGGAACCACATGAGCAGGAATGGAGAGGCAGCTGAATGCTTCGGTCAAGTACAGTCTCAACATCTGCCTTCTGTGTGCCCCGACTGACTCGGTGATCTGACATATCAAACACTCATGACTTTCTTGTTCTCCCTGGTCAAGTCCTGCATCTTAAATCATACTTGTTCTACTTCGACTGCTTTACTAAGCCTATTTTACTATAGAAGTGAAAATCTAAAAGTATTTTTTGTTGTTGTTAATTCTCACAAGATGTAAAGGCAGCATGAGGTGGGATGGTTTGATTCATTTTGAAGGCTGGTCCCTTTTCCAGCATCGTTTACTTTGATGACTTCCTTTAATTTTGTTGTCTAGTAGTCAGTGGCTAATTGGAGGTAACCCCAAAGCATGCTGATGTATGTGTTTCTTTCCACACCTATTACATACACATATGTTAATTGAATGTTCATTCAATCTGAATAAACTCCCAGAGTTTGTACACTTTGAGTTGGTAATAATTAAAAAATAACACTTAACAATATAAATTTAAGATTTTTACTTCTATATGCTACTGTATTGGCTTTAAATTGAGATCTTAGGTTTTTACTTTCATTTTTTAAATTCTATATTTCCAGTGAATGATCTTTCAAAGATTTTACATGGAACATATCCTGTGAATGATTTAAGGAAACATTAAAATACGGGTATTTCAATGAAAATCAAATCCTTTCTGATAGGAAAGGTCCCATTGATTGTATTGCCCTTTACTTTGCCTTGTAGTGGAAGGTGATTTGTGGGATGGAGCTAACGTGTCAGTGTATTGGCAACCTGTGTCTGTGAGTTGTATAAAGAGACCAGGGATGGGAAATGCACTCTAACTGCAATCCTTGCTTTGGCTGAGGACTGAGTGTCACTTTGGCAAGCACACTGTATTCTGTCTCCCTTGCTGTTTTGTTCTCTTCAGCAGTGATGGTGCATGCTCTGAACAGTACCGGAAGGTCCAGGTAGAGATAGTAAAGTTCTTGTTGTACATGAAAAATTATGTGACTCTTTTGATATCTGAACTGCTATACAATGACATCTGTAATTTTGTCATTTTTAATCTCATAGAAATAAATATACTTTGATATGTAAATCCACATTAGGTTATGCTATTATTTATTTGTCTTAAAATTTAAATTGTAATTGTGTCATAGGAATAATTTAAAAGTATTCTATATTCACATTGCCTGTGTTAATGCTTTTTAAGATTTATATTACATCAGATGTATATTTTTGGTTTGGCAATAAGCTGCTGTTGTAATTTTTTGGCTTTTTGTTCATAAAGAATTTTCTGAATGAATGGTAACTTCTCAAGGATTGTGAATAAACATTTTTACATTTAACAAAAAAGAAAGATTAATAGAAGTTATTTTTTATTTATCAACCGCTTTGCTATAAACTTGAAATTTACTAAAGGAGATAAACTTTATTTATTCATGCATTGCTGGAAGGCAGGTGTTTACCATAGTTCACACAATTACTATGTCTAAAGCTATGTGGCCATACATCATAATTCATTTAGTATATTTACTTCTAATTACTGTTAAATTTTAAACTTCCCAGTTTTCCCAAGCCTAGTATAAAGACAAGATCATCAGCAAGCTTCTTCCTTTGGTGGTTTTGAGAAATTCAAACCAAGCACAGGAATCCTCAAATCAGCCTGAATTCTGACCAGGGAAAAACTGCAAGTCAATTTCCTGTCCTTTTTCTCTCAGTCCATATCCAACTTCTTTGTGGAGTTCCTCTGTGAATAGCTTACTTCAGAAGCTCTTTTTTATCTAGTGGGGTCTGTCAGGATGCCCTAGAAAATAGAGCTGCTGGCTATAATATGGGGCTGATTGGAATTACCACTTGGAAGAATTTTGTAATCAGTTGAAAATACAAAATTATTTTGTTCCTAAGAATCTTCAGGTGTGTCACCTGAAAGTAATATGGCTATTTGTTGTTTGTTTGCTCATTTTGTTTTTTTCTGGGCAAGAGTCACTTGGTAGCTGATATCCACTTTAAACTTTTGACCCTCTGTCCAATTTGCTGAGTTCTGGGATTCCTGCCATGAGACATCAAGAACTGATGTCTATGTGCCAGGCATGGTAGGGCATGCCTTTAATCCAAGCACCTGGGAACCAGAGGCACGAGGAACTCTTTAAGTCCCAGGCCAGGCTGGTCTACAAAGTGAGTTCCAGGACAGCTAGGGCTGTGACACAGAGAAACCCTGTCTAGAAAAAGCAAGCAAACCAACAAGCAAACATAAGGAACTGATATCTATTTCTTTTTCCTTCTCTTTTTGTGTCAAACCTCACCACAAATTCTGGGAATCTTACCATCAAGTTTTGAGGACAGTCCAACCTCCGTGAACGTATGTCTGCCCTAGTTATCTTTTGTTTCTGTGTTATAAACACTGACCAAAACAAGCTTGGAGAGACAGGGTGGGTCTCTTTTGCTTATATATGCTAATCAGACTTGATCATTAAGGGAAGTTGAGACAAGAACTCAAACAAGAGTAGAGGCAGAAACCAGAGAGGAATGCTGCTTCCTGGCTTGCTCTCCAGGTTTTGTTTCTCAGGTTGTTATCTTATACAAATCTACCTAACCTGCCTGTGGCTGACACCACTCTCTGGACTCTACCCTCCCACATAAATTATCAATCAAGAAAGTGTACTACAGATAATGCCCACAGGCCAATATGATGGAAGTAATGCCACAATTGAGTTTCCCACTTCCTAAGTGACTACACTTTGTTTCAAGGTGACAAAAACCAAAAAATACAAAAAAAAAAACTAACAACCAAAAACTAACCAACACACTATCTCAGCTGATGATTACACAAAGATCTCAGTTCAGACAACATATTGAAAATAAAATGACCAGGGGGTCGTGGATGGATGGCTTAGCAGTTTCTCCACTCACAACGTTTCAGTGAACTGGAGTTCTGTTCCTAGGAGCTACATGGAAACACAATGCTGTGTGTAAATCCAGTTACAGGAAGTCCAGTTCTCTCTTCTGCCCTCTATAGGCACCTGAATGAACAGGATGTACAAAAAGACACACAGACATGGTTTAATAAGCATAAACAACTGCAAAATAAAAATACAAGATTTGTTAAGAATTTAAATGAAGCCGGGCGTTGGTGGCGCACGCCTTTAATCCCAGCACTCGGGAGGCAGAGGCAGGCGGATCTCTGTGAGTTCGAGACCAGCCTGGACTACCAAGCGAGTTCCAGGACAGCCTCCAAAGCCACAGAGAAACCCTGTCTCGAAAAACAAAAAAAAAAAAACAAAAAAAACAAACAAACAAACAAGAATTTAAATGAAAACAAAAACAAAAAAAAAAAAGAGAAAGGGATGCCTGGTTAGGAAAACGTCATAAAGCAACTCCTACTTGAATATCTTGTGACGGTTCCTCTCCATTCTTCCATCTTGTCAACCAGAGAGAGAAGAAAGGTGCTACAGCTTCAAGCAGCTAAAAGCCTGCAAACAGAAAAAGGAAGAGGACTAAAAGGGTGCTGTGTGAAGGGACGCTATCACAGAAGAAAAAACACTTTTGTTGGTTGCTAAAAATGTGAAGATGTTACAGATGTGCTGGTCATTCCAAATCATCTGTTTTCAAAAATAAACTCATCAGTACACAAAACATACATTTGTAGCTCCCCAACTGAAAGTGTATTTGTTGTGTGATCAGGCTAAGCCAACTTGGAGAAGAAATCCAAGGAAATGCAGCACTGTGATACCTGTGTATTCATCTTATTGGGGGACTAGTCAACATAGCTAAGTTATACAATTAGCCCAGATATCTGTGATAGATAATCCTAATTGTTATCTTTTTAAAGTTATTTTGGAGTTGCACTTGTAGGCATGTCTTTGAGGGTAACACTAGTGAAACATAGTAATGATGGAAGATTCAAACTGAATATGCGTGCCAGCAACCTCTAGCCCTCAGTCTTAGATGAAACAAAAAGGCGAAACAAAGTAGAGAATTAGCAGTCACCCTTCTCAGACTCCTGGTGTTTACCAGGAGGTAAACCTGCCCCAGTAACATGCCTTTCCTGCATATTACAACTATATCTTTCTGAAATGTGAGCTAAGTAATATGCTTCCTTTGATAGCTCAGGCAGGTGATCCCGAGGACTGGGAGGCTGAGGCAAAATGATCTCCGCTATTTTGATGCCATCTTGGCACATATTGCAAGATTCAGGGGAGCCTAGGTGACACGGTGAAAGCCTATTTGAAAAAAATGCTGTAAGTGTATTCTTTTTGTTGTTGTTATTTTGTTTGCTTGCTTGGGACAGTTCTTTTATATAGCTTTGGCTTACCTGAACTCAGTAGATATTACTTGCTGTCCTTGAACTCATAGGGATTTTCTTGTCTCTTCTTGCCAAGTGCTTGGGAAATAAGATCTTTGCCTTTATAGCCCGCTGTTATTCTGCTAAACAGAAATTGCATTAAAACGAACATTTAGTTGCTTACAATTACATCCATTGACTAGCTCATCTGTCAAACATTAACTGAGAAGCCATGTGTACAGTAGATGGTGTTTGACACACACACACACACACACACACACACACACACACTACTGGTCAAGATTCAGATAATGAGAAGCTACAATATGTTCAGTCCTCAATGGAACATTTATATCACACCCCTTGTGATGCATCTGTAGTTATTGTTGTTGTTGTTACTTTTAGTTCTCATTTGTTTTGGTCCCCTTCATATACTTCTTTCTAGCAATGTTTCCTATTTTGTTTGGTGATTAGCTGAATTAAATGACTGCACCAGGAATAAACACAAGTCAGTAGATGTGGTTCATGGCTATAATCCTTAGTCAGTATTCAGAAAAATGGGGTAGGGGGATCACTATGGAATGGAGTCTGAGTTAAACAGACTGCAGAGTGAGATGCTTTCTTAAAAACATATCAGAATTCCCCATCCCAAATACACCATTTATTTGAAGTGCACATGGTATATTTCTAGGTCTGTCATCCCCTCTAAGCAGCTCCTTCTTACAGAAATACAGATGAATAAAAACTTCACTGTTGATCAGTTTGTATTTGGGATATGTGTGCTTCTTATTCTTTTCAGTAATTTGGTAATAGAGTCATTAGTTTTTCCATATGGAATTTATTTCCCTTTTATATTGTGTTAGTTTGTTGTATCCCCCACAGCCT